AAAACAAGTTCTTTAGATCAGACGTTTTTAAGTCGTTCTTTACCCAGACAGACTAGTAGGACGTGGATCTGAGAGCGAAATTGATAAAGGTAGAAAAAAGTTTTTCTTACCTTCCTGTACAGCTGATTTCACTGTCAGAGGGACGTCCACCTGTACGCTAGTGTCCGAGTCTCTCGACCGTCAGATCCCGGGTTTCGGCACCAAATTGTTGTGGATCAGAAATGTTGATCTTTGTTATATTCAGAGGAAGCCCAAATTGTTGTTACAAGTGCACTTGGAGAAGCGAGAATTAGACACCAGACACCTGTTGGTATTCAAAATAAGCCTCTGACGTTTTATTCATCAGCTGGGTTTTATACATTAAAAAGTAAGTGCTTACGTGCAAATACTCTTAGAACAGTAATAGGAAGAGAATACAGATAAGACATAGGGATGAGCGTCATGTACCCATAACAAATAAGTTTCAAGGTATGAGAGAACAAAATGATGAGAGCAGAGACATCTTAGGTGGGGGCTCTCTGCTCCCGGAACTTAGACATATATGGTCTTAAGTGTTGTTTAAGCATCAAGCATTTCCTGAGTCCAAGTTAGCCAATTTTAATATAGGATATCATTATATGACACCTATAAGCTTGAGCCTTGGAATCAAGATAAATTCTATCACATGTTTTAATGTTTGCAGATGACACAAAGCTCTGTACAGAAATAAAATGTGAGCAGGATATTGCTTTGCTGCAGAGGGATTTAGATAAATTGGTGGGCTGGGCACTCAAATGACAGATGTAATTTAATGTAGAAAAATGCAAAGTTATGCACTTTGGGGTAAAGAATGCACAAGCAACTTACACCCTAAATGGTAGTGATGTAGGAATAACAAAACACGAGAAGGATTTGGGATTTGTTAGAGGCAACAAATTAGGCAGCAATTAATTGGTCAGTAAGGTATTGTCATGTATAAAATGGGACATAAATTCTTGGAATGAAAATATAATTTTGCCTCTCTATGGTAAGACCACACCTTGAATATGTTGTGCTAAAGAAGGATACTATGACATTAGAAAAAGTGCTGAGACGGAGTACCAAATTGATAAAAAAAAGAATGTAGCATTTCAGATATGAAGAAAGGTTAAAAAAATATATATCTGGGGGGCCATTTAGCAGCCTGTGTATTTGCATTTAGCATTGTGTGTGTATATTTATAATTGTATGTGCATGTGTATATTTAGCTATGCGTTTGTATGTATTTAGAACTTTGCATGTATTTACCAGTGTGTTTATGCGTTTAGCAGTCTGTGTGTATGTTTTTACCAGTATGCATGTATGTATTTAGCTGTGTGCATGTGTGAGAATTTGTGTAAGTATTAGTCTGTTTGTTTGTATGTGTATGTATGAGGCTGTGTGTATGCACCTATTAGGTAGTTGGTGTGTATGTATTAGACTGAGCACCCGACCCATCCACTATTGTTGCCCCTTTGGAGGTGACCACAGGAAAGCATTAATTGAGGATTCTCTGGAAGCGGTTTAAGCAATGAGCATTGCTCTAAGCATGTTAATCTTTCATGTTAAAATTAGTGTAGGACACTTCGAGTGTGGGGCTTAACAATATGGCCATATGGTGGAGCTGAATTCCCATATTTGTTTGCTTAGATAAGTGATTTAAGTAGCCTTGTAAAATTTTAAAATGTATTTTTAAATGTGCACTGTAACTGAATCTATACTAGAGACAGATAAACTGACATATAAATGTATGGACAAAGAGAGGGATGAACAGAAGAACAGGCAGACAGATAGAGGTAAGATTGTAATAGATAGACTTAATGCAATACTATATTCGTGAAAATGTTCCCCATATGTCAGTACAGCTTTGATGTTTTCTTTTCTAGATGAACAATTTGCATAGTCTCCTCCCACTTCTCTGAATCATCTGAATTGACCCCTCCCATTTCATTAAATTACTTCTTGCAGATACTGGTTTACAGCATTCTTTAGTTTCACACAGAGCAGAGTGTATCTGTCATGAGACTTTGGCTGAGTGCAGTGACCTGCATCTTTTTAGCAGGTAAGATTAGGTAACATTCTAGTGACTCACTTATGGGAACAGATTACTGTTTGACATTTTATAACATTTATCCATCCTTGGCTAATAGTGACAAGATTCCGGTAAGCTTATTGTGGATTATTCTGATGTAAGAAATATTTACATTAAATTATGTACCGGTATTTGCCTGCTAATAATCACACCTTTTACTTACAGGGAGATGCAGAGCAGACAGTGTCACACAATCAGCCTCTGACATGTTGGCTCCTGATGGGGACCACGTTACTATTAACTGCACATATATAACATCGAGCAGCGAACCAGATCTCAATTGGTATATCCAACAACCCAGAAAGAGACCTCGCAATGTTATAGTAAGACATGCATACAGTGCTTATGTGGAGGAACCTGGTACTCGGTATGCATCCAAACTGGATAGAGAGGCCACATTTATCTACCTGAAGATTTCTGATGTCACAGTGTCTGACTCTGGGCTGTATTATTGTGCTCTGAGTGCCACAGTGTCTGTGTCTGCAGACTGCACTGTACAAGAAGCTCTAACTCTGTCCAAGGTGCTGAAATAAGGCTGGTGTTGCTGCTTGTCTGCTAAGCATACTTATATGAATTGTCTCAGGTGTAGATTTGTCAAAGTTATAATTTATAAAAATCAAACACAACGTGCTCAAAGCAAAGGGTTTATATTATTATATGTAGGTTTTGCACGCATTTTCTAAATGCTTTGTAATAATAAAGCCCAGAACAATCAACTAATATTTACAGTTGAAAACTGTTTCATCAATTACATATTCTTCAAGAAGGCAACCTTCACTTACATTCCAGCCTACCTGATGCTCTGAAAGTGTGCGACAGACCTGTAGACTTTTGATAAAGTTACCTAAATTACAGCCTATACTCAAATGTATTGTAAAGTATTTCACATAACATGTACCATACACTTATTCTGACTGGAATCTTAGCTCTGATGACGTCAAAAGCAAATACAAGAGATTTTGAGAGCCAAAAGTAAGAGACATATGTAAAAAATTAGCAAAATGGAGGGATCCAAAAAATGTCTATAAGTGACACTTAAATGATAATAAACATAAGCTATGCAACTAGAATCACCAAACAATATAGAAAAATACAACCTGTTAATTGTTTTAAACACGAGTAATACACTAAAAACTCTGAATCCAATGAGACTATCTACCAAAGAAAACAAAAACTAGACATAGTGTTATACAGTACAGAAATATTGTGCAAAGTGAAATAAAGGGAAGAAGGGAAGGTAGGAGAGATATCACAAAATGAGAAATAATTCCAGGCTCACCTCACCAACAGGGGTATATCGGTAGTGAGCGATCAACACTTTTTTCACCCTAGATATGTGGGGCAAACAGAGACAGTCAGATAGTGCAATATTAAAGACACATCTTAACAATAGAATTATATAATGCAGGAATAAATTAGCATATCTCCACTATAAGTGGAATATGTGGAAGGAACAGGTCATACTACCTTGTAGAGACTTCTTCACAAAACAAAGTTATAACAAAGTTGAATTTCCTATATTTACATAGAATATATATATATATATATATATATATATATATATATTTATATATATAATTAAAGGGATGTAAAATTTATATTAGACATGTTCATTCATTTTTGTAAAAATAAAAAAAAATTACCAACATTTTGGTTTTACTTTCAATAAATTTATGATCAAAATTGAACTCTGAACAAAGTTAATTTGTTATTTAATGGCAGGCTACTGCTCTTCTGGCTGTATGAATAAGTTTTATATATATATATATATATATATATATATATATATATATATGACAAAAATCAGGTAGTTTTCTCGGGAACTTATTAACTAAAAAAAAAATTTTATGTGTCCCGATGAAAGCTCTGACCGGGAGCTGAAATGTTGACAAACGTCTGGATTCACCAAAAATAAATCGGATGAACAAAGCCTAGAGTGCCGGTATTTTTTTGATATTTCTATATTGCTGTGAGTTGGCACCAGGTATTTAATACTTTTTTTTTAGTAGGAGTGCAAGAGGTTGCAATATATATATACCAAACAGATCAACCTCTTGCACTTCTACTAAAAAAAAGTATTAAATACCTGGTGCCAAGCCACAGCAATATAGATATATCAATATATATATATATATATATATATATATATATATATAAAAGACAAAAATCAGCACTCCCAGGTAGCTTTCTCAGGAACTTCTTTACTAAAAAAAAGTGTAACAGTCAACGTTTTAGTTCCATTCAGGAACGTTCATCATGACAACCACACGTGATATTCAACAAAACAAACGATTAAATAAGGCAAAATATCAATTACTCACAGTTCAGCTGTAGGGTGGGCTGGCATTCTGACTCCCAGGGCACAAGACAGGATGCTGAAATCAGCTGTGTGCAAACTCAGCCACTGAGTATGTATCAAGTGAAGAAATCTATCCCCATGGTAACCCGATCAACGCTCCCGTTCTGTCAGCAATCACTCTGAATGTTTAGGCATCCTGCATCTCCTAGGAGATATCTGCCCCCATGTGGTGTCAGCTAACTTGCAGACTGCCGCTTGTGTATCACAAGCCTGAAGCTGAACGCCTCCCACCCTCCGAGCATCAGAAAGTCACTGTACGGGAGATACTTAAACATATACAATGTTACACTTGATCATAACGTAACTCAACACATTTGAAACAGTAAATTAATATCCGGATGTTTATCTAACTTGTACGCATAATTCACACCAATATTTGTGAATCCTTCCAAAAGTACAGAGTCAGAAGCTCTGAAACATGTTCGTAAAGAAGATTGTAACACACTCCGTTATGTTCTAAAGTGGTCCATGCAGTGATCGATAAAGTGCTGTAGTGTCTATTATACAATGAATTGTATTGTGCTATCCAACAGATGAATAGAAATCTATATCTTGTTTTTAAAGTGAACATTGTGCAAAAAGATCTCTCTCTCTCTCTTTCTCTCGCTCTATATATATATATATATATATATAGAGAGAGAGAGAGAGAGAGAGATCTTTTTGCACAATGTTCACTTTAAAAACAAGATATAGATTACTATTCATCTGTTTTATATATATATATATATATATATATATATATATAGAGAGAGAGAGAGAGAGAGAGAGAGAGAGAGAGAGAGAGAGAGAGAGAGAGAGAGAGAGAAAATCATCCATATATAGTAAAACAGAGCCTCTGGCCCCTATTAGGTGCATTAAAGTGAAAGTAGTGCCCATAATCTGATACACACCAAGTGTAAAAAAAAGTGCTCATAGTACCAAAAAAGTTAATTGTGTAATAGAGAATCTAGAGTTATATTATGGCAATTGCTAGGGTTACATGACCATTAGATAATATATATAGCATCAGTGTTAAAAATATACAAGTTAGTTAGCAATACCTGCCAAGAAAATGTGGAATTGATTTTCAAATAAGTGCTAATATGGTTCAACCTAATACGATAATCTACCAGATAACCTGGTAGATTATCTGGTGATAGGGGTTTCACATGGGCCTTATCACCATCCCCACAGGTACTCTTAAATGCCCTAACCTTTTATCCACTTCCACTGACCCACTCATGGTGGACCACCTTCTGTCTACAGAAATCGCAGCCGGCTTTATGATCGGCCCTTTTCTGTCTTCACCTTTCTCATCTTGGCATAACAATCCCAACGGTATAGCCATTCACAAATACTCCAACAAAAATGTTTTAATTATTGATCTCTCCGTACCTCACTCTTCCTCTACTCCCAGTATCAACTCCCTCATTCCCACCACGGAGTTCTCACTACCATACACTAAAATTGATGATGCCATGGAAGCCATCGTATTAGCAGGTAGTGGGGCTTGGTTGAGCAAAACAGATATAACTAACAACTTCAAACTACTACCTATTCATCTCTCACTATGGCACTTACACAGTGTTAAATGGAGAAACAGGTATTTTTCGCCACCGGCTCACTTTTGGCTCTAGAAGCAGCCCCAAGTTATTTGATATCTTCGCAGAAACCCTCTGCTGGCTGCTCCTAAATATACTCAGGTGTCCCTCTGTCATCCACTACCTAGATGATTTTCTATTGATAGAACCAGGTTCACAATCCCCTCACTACATACACTACACCACAGCTTTATTCACGACACTCAGGGTCCCCTTGTCACCAAGCAAAATACTTGGTCCCTCCACCAAGCTCGTTTTCTTGGACATAGTACTCGACACTACTACCTTCCAAGCCAGTCTGCCACCAGATAAACTGTCCCACATTAGGAACGAGATTGTCCTGTTCCTGCTGAGTGTTACATGCACTAGGAGGGGCCTCCAGTCCTTATTGGGGTCCCTAAACTTTGCTATGTGTATCATTCCGCAAGGGAGGTCTTTTGTCTCCTGCCTTCTCAACTTGTTCCACGGTGTGCCCGACTCCTGCCCAATCGTTTTGGACGATCCAGCTAGGGTGGATTTACACATGTGGAGTAGTTTTCTGGCTGATTGGAATGGGGTCTCTTTGTTCATTCCCCCACTTTCAGAGCATTCACCTTCGATTCACACAGACGCAGTGGCACACACAGGGTTCGCAGCCATCTACGGCAACCACTGGTTTAGGGACAACTGGCCCCCTGAGATGGATGCCTTGCTGGCATTTAGAGAAACATCTACTCTATGTGAGATCTACCCCATCGTAGTGGCCGCCCACACGTGGGGTCATCTTTGGACCAGCAAGGCAGTTAGATGTTTCTCCGACAACTCTGCAGCCTGCGACATCATTAACAAAGGCCGGTCCTCCTCACTAACAATTATGAGGCTGATTCGCAGGCTGACGTGGTTGGCAGCTACCGCTCAGTTCTTCCTAGTCTGTATCCACATTCCTGGGGTCCACAACACAGCAGCTGACGCCCTTTCACACTCCCAATTTAATATCTTCTTCCAGGCACTCCCCACGGCCCACCACTTTACATCTAGGATACCACTATTCCACAAGATATTCTGGGACTAAGCACACAATTGCACCTCGCACAGGTACGCACGCCTCATGCAGGTTCAAGACTTTCCCTTCACGTACGCCAGGTCACAAGCAGAAGTTTGCTTAAATTCAAGACTTTCATTGTTATAATTTTGGTAATTTTTGCCTTTTTCTCTAAGCTTACAAACCAAGCTTCTTACTTAAAACCTCCTATGCTATCATTCAGCTGTTACGTCTCCAAAGTCAAACACTCACATTCATTCCTAAATCCATTTCATTACGTCTAACCCTTCCACTAAGCTTGAGCATCATCATATCTCCTCCGCTGTTCTCTTTTAGCAAGCACTACAGCAGCAGCTTCAAACACTTACACCCCAGTCTACATCACATAGTGATGGGGTCACAAGAAAGCATCAGGTCAGGTACTTACATACCTCAATCAGAGTAAAGCTCCTTACAAGTTTCGTTACTCATGCTGTATTAACTTGCAATAAAATGTGTTTTTCTTTTAATCCTTTTTTGCCCTCTTTTTACAGGCCTACTCGTACGTTGGTTTCGGCACACCTCAACCAGCTTTGCTTCCCCTTCTACATTCCATTACGTATTAGATAAATTCCGAGCACAAGTTGGAAGGCTATTTGGCCTGAATTTGTGGGAGGAGTTATGATCCTATATAAACCCTACTCCCCTACTTACCTTTGTCTTGCAAGCCGTTTATCCCCACCCACCTACACCCATCTATATTAACAATTCACCTTTGTGGGCTCTCTTTTTACAGGCCTACTCGTACATTGGTTTTGGCACACCTCAACCAACTTTGCTTCCCCTTCTACATTCCATTACGTATTAGATCAATTCTGAGCACATATATATATCAGACTCATGCCCTGTCTGTAGCTCTCTTCGACTTTCACATAATAGAACTATATATATATATAAATATATATATATATATATATATATATATATATATATATATATATAGTTCTATTATGTGAAAGTCGAAGAGAGCTACAGGCTACAGACAGGGAATGAGTGAATGCACAGGCTCTTGAGTATTATATATATATATATATATATATACACACTCATCTTTTTTTTTTGTTATTTTGCAATATTTTCAGTTTCTTTTGTAATCATTTCAACATATTTTCTTTACCGAACCGAAAATCCCAAATTATCGACCAAACCAAAATGATCCAAAGCAAAAATTATTTCTATGTATATCTCTCGTTTATATACACAGATAATAAGGCAGACACAGAAAAAGATAAATAAAAAAGCATAAATAAAATAAGATTTGTGGAAAGATGGCAGGTGTAACATATTCATCCTCACCTTGCGGTATCTGCGCTCAGCGGCCATGCGTCAGTGGACCTGACTACTGCAGCATGTTGGTGGACACCGGCTGCTGCGGATCCATTTCAGATTGTGGCCCCACAATTGTCCGAGGGTGTGTTCCTGAGTGTTTATTTCTGGTTATTGACTTTGGCATAGTTTTGACTTCCCTGTATTCTGGTATCCTTGACTTTTGGCTTTCCCTCATCGTTGTGTCCCATTCTGTGTCCCTGACCTTGGCAAGTATTCTGACTATTCTCTGGTACGTTAAGTCTAGCCATTATAAGGCCCGGTAAGACGTTACCTTTTAGTCCTAGGTGTGATACAGTTCTACGTGCTGGATCAACTAATAATCCTGACAAAAGGATGGATGGATGACAGGAGCTGAAAAGTAGATTAGATATGTAGATAGACTGACAGAAGGTAAAATATTAGAGATTGATAAAATCATTACATAGATTGAGTCTTTATAGGAAAAAGTGTCAAAACATTTCTTTACATTTATAATTAGATTGAAAAAATAAGTTTGACTTTTGACCGGGCTCTTTGGGTACATGCAGTTAAGTGCATTCATAATAAAATGTTGCTTAGTGTGAGGATTTTTCAGTTGTTTAATAATACTAGTGGAAATGGGAAAAATGGGAGAAAAATCTACTTTTACAAACACTGTCATCACAGTCATTAGACAACTTTATTACTGAGGGGAGTGCTCAACATCTTTTTAGCCACTAATTAAAACTAGTGACTTCTAGAGTACTGTGATGGACCGCCTGGCACCCCGACTGGGTACCTCCATCAATCGCTGCATTCTAGTACTTGCGAGCACCATAAGCACTGTACTGAAACACCATAACCACCGTAGACTCCCACAAACTGCCGCAGCTTTGTTTGGGATTTCTCTGTCCTCAACCCACCCTGGACCCAAGACCAGGATC